TCAAAAAATACATGGTGCTCATTAATTTGATTTGTGATAAATGGATGCTTCAAAATAATAGATGGTTGTTTGGTGTTCAGTAGATTCATTATCAGAAAATGAGTATTACATTCAAAGCTTGGAACTTGGAGGATAGTAAAAGAGAAAGAAAAAAACCAAGTTACTCAAATTTTGTGTGAGTTACAGAAAATATGTTGCCAACTCGCTCTCCTTGTGCTTCATGTCCATGAATAACGACGTGATCTGATGCTTCCTCTTGTGAAGCTTTGACACTTGGACTTTCGATGAAGTCGCAGGCTGCAATACATATCCAAACAAGAAAACATTTAAAAGGCAATACAAAGAATTCAAATTTGGTATGATATCAACTAGCTATCCCCACTCAGAAGTTTTGCAGCAAGAAAGAACAAATTTGACGGTGGCAGCCACAAACAGGAGATAAATTTCACAACTCCTACTCAATTCACTGCCAACGGTTAAATTCACAATCTCTTACGAGCAAAGGCCATAAATTTACAGAACCAGACCAAACYACAAACAACACTCAAGGAGKAGTAGAGTTTTAGAATTCCAGAGACACTGATTATCAGATATGGCGTACAATCGATATTCTATTTGCTTTTAACAGTTCAATTTCGAGTTTTCTCAAATATTCATAACTCTACAAGCTATCTAATGGAAGAGAAAAGGGTTTTGATTTACCAACTCAGAGAAATATTAAAAGCAAACAAAAAAAAACTCAGAGCAATAACAGACCCTAAAGACAAATCTGAAGTGTGGCTGAGGAGGGATCTGCTTGACGGCTTGTTCGATTTGTGAGGAAGATTTCATGCAATTACGACGGTGAAATCTCGTTCTCGGAAGCTGATCTTAACAGATTACGATTGCGGAGGTTCGTCGGAGAAAGAAACGACGACCAGAGAAAGCTCGCCGAAACCGAAAGAGATAATTAGTTTCGACAATAGTTTTGTCGATCAAAAGACATTTATTTTCCTTTAATAAAATTTGTTTTTTAATCTGATATTGAATTAATAATTGTTAAGAATTATAATGGTATTATTGTGATTAAATTTGAGAAATTTCAAAAAATGCCACTTTTCAAATTCCACTTTTTCAAAATTATTTTTTCTTTATATTATTTATGTTTGAGTTAATTATGTTCTATTAGGGTTTAGTTTTGAGTGTTTAGKGGGTTTTAGGTGCCAAAATATTTTTTAGGGTTTAGAATTCTAAGATATAGGCTTTATAAATCTATAATTAGTGGCATTTTTGTAAATGGGCATCTCTAAGTGGCATTGTTGCAAATGTACACACAAAAAATAGCATTTTTGTAATTGTCCCATTAAATTTAGGTGTGATGGGTTAACTGACTTTTTACACATTTTTTATTAACTGTTTTTGAATGGATGGTAGTCTAGTAATATATGAATGAATGAGTGCTAATTTGTTTAATTTTTTTTTTGTTTGTTAACTGGTTTTGAATGGATGTTATTCTAGTAATATATGAGTGAATGAGTGCTAATCTGTAAAAAAATAATATGCTTTTACACAGAAAGTAACTTTGTCTTAGAAAATATGAACAAACTACCATGTACACTTCACAATATTATCCTCTAATTATTCAAGAGCTAAACCAGTGCCTTTGTAGTTAGCCTGAAATCATAAAGAAATTACAAAATCAATTAACTTTTGAATAATCATAAGGAATTACAAAATTATTTAACTTTTTTAATAATAAAATATCAAAACATCTATACCAAAATAAACTAAATCACAATATTTATGTATAGATTGATGAATTGTATCTGCTCATTGGTATGAAATACAGTTGATATCTCCTGTTAAATACACATTGTTGAACAAACTTGTACACATGCTTCACTTTAGAATAGACTCATTACTTTGGTCCTCTGATATTGACGCCAAAAGATTACGTAATCTCAATTTCACCGTGTAACTCAAATTTGGATCGAATCGGGATAAACTCGATGGAATAGGAACGAGAAAGTTGTGCGTGAAGAACTAGCCCCGAAGAACTATACATGAGGCTTCTCCATCTACCCCGGCCCTGAATTTTGTGACTTTCTTCTAAATGAGAGGTTGAAAAGATCTCTTAAATATTTTGTGGGTTTAGCTAGCCGATCTAGATGAATTTTATGGGCTTATGAAGTATCCACATCATAAAAAAACATATCATCTGAATCAACTGTAGATGCTATCACTCTTAAGATTACAAAATAACAAAATGGAATTTAACCAAAGACACCCCCAACCCCATCATTATGAACCAGAGATTTACATACAATACTACTAACTTAGCTTGTAATCTTTTATTTAGCAATTTAAACAACCTGAATATAAAATCCAACTTCAAAATATGTTGTAATTGCAGTAGTTTCATCTGTAGTAGTTCTTGTGGCTAGCAAAACGATGCATGCAACAGTTTATCTGGCTAGTTCATGAATGCTTTAGTTTTAGTTGTTTATATGGCACATTACAAAACCTCGACATATTTGCACAATGACAAATTAGAAGAAATTGAAAACAAAGTCAATATGATATTTACATTTATATATTTCATAAAATATAAAGTCTTAAACATTTACGTACATCACTTCCCACTACTTAACCTTTTTGCTTCTCTCTACTAGTTGTTGAAGTTAAAGTTGAGAGGAAAAGCCAAGCGACTTATTATTAGCTCATAGGAGAGAAATGTTGCCTTTCAGCATCATTATTGGTGATACATTTTGGGTATCAACAAGATTAATTTAGTACTAAATTTAATAATTTTTAATTTTTGAGATTTATTAAGAATTTTGTAATTTTTGTAGGTTTAATGGTAATATTCATCAAAGCATGGTTTAATTATTTTTTTTCAATTTTTTTGTGTGATACACATGTGGGTATTACTAACAAAGATGGTCTAACTTTTAAATGGTCTGAATCAAAATTCCAACTCGTGACTTTTTATATATTTTT